CTATCAGTGATTTCTTAAATATGTTTAATCGCTTGCCAGTCAAACCATAATTTATTGTAAAATCTCCTCACTTTAAAAACATAAGAAGATGTTGTATGATTGCAAATTAGAAAACTTTCCACAAGAGATAACAAGGATGTGGGTGTGGATGTTAACAAACTATAATAGCTCATCGTTAAAATATAAAACTGTTAAGACAATAAATGGAAAAACAAATACGACAGACAGCAAACAATAACCACCAAATAATAAAGGGCCACTTTCTTGTGATAATCATATTAATAGTGTGCAGCGTTAACCATGTTTGCGAGCACTCAACCCTCCCATAATCAGGAACAGTTTTGAAATAGCAAACAACATAAGAACAAATTATAAAACTCAGTTTTTTTCTGTTAAAGATCGATGGAAATGTTTACTAAAGAATAAAGAATGTCATGTGGCTCCTTGTTATCCAATAAGAGAAGCTAATTCTTAACCGATATGAAATAAAACCAATTACCAAAAAGACACTGAGTTCTAATAGCTAGTTCAAAACTAATTACAGTTGATAAATAAATACTGTTGGCACCGACTAAAATATAAATCAGTACACATCCGATTAGCAACCAAAGTGAAAAGTGGATTCAGTGTTACAGCCAAAGCTTTATTTATATGGTGAGTGAGTACTGAGATCGTCGCTAATTACATGAGTAGCTATTTGCTTCGAGGAGCTTGAAATTTTTATGTGTGAAAAAATATTTAACAACAATCATTTAACACTCATCATTCTTAATTTTTTTTTATGAAAAACATTGTTGGATTCTACATCTTAACATGTTTGTTCCAGAAGGAAAATGAAAATAAAAATATTGTTTTCTTTATAAAGTTGTGGGAGAAAAAATACATTAAAGACTTTGAATTTCAAAAATTAAGTCTTGCATTAACATTTTTTTTTATAAAGGACAAAACTTGTGTTTCGAGAACCCCTCCCCCCAACAAAAAAATAACATCAGTGCCTTTAACACACAGGCAGAATTCTTTCAAATACCGAGTAAGATTGTGACTTAGTTGGTTAATCTAATTCAGTACAGTTTTCCATTTATAGGTTACATACCAACACTGTGGTGGAGAATTAGATTCTTGGATTGTAAAATAGCAGAACACCATCGCGGTCTATATCTTTATTCAAATATACAAATTTTGAGACAAGAAACTGATGCATTTGTAATATTATTCTTTTAAATTGAGATAATTATGTATTGTATTGTATTATTTCAACTGTTTTAAAAAATACTCAACATTTTTTGTATAAATTAATTTTTTTCAACTTTGGCAAATGAGGGGAAGCAACTCATATAACCTTACTTTTACTACAAAAAATTTTGATTAATTACACCACTTTGCGCAAAAAATATTTTTGTATAATGTAGTATGTTGTTCATAGATAGTAACAGACTTGTTTTTCAGAGAAAAACTTTGTGTTGCAATTAGTTGCAGGTTGTTCACTAAATTGACTAGACTAAAATGATCAGCAAGACAGGAACTACAAGTACATCAAGATGACCAAAATTGTCAGTCGTCATTTTATTTTAGTTATTGCTCTTTAATGGCGATTGTTAGCATTCTTTGGCGTTTTTGCAGAAGCGACACTTTAAACACTTTGAAAAGACAAAATGACCAGCAAAAAAATATTAGTATCTAAGAATAAGTTTAATGGTCGAAATTGTCAGTCGACTACATATTGGAGTCTCTATTGACGATTTTTACCAATTTTTAGGCAGTTAAGCTGCCTTATGCTACCACCCTAGATTTGTGTTATTCCCACTGAATGGTGTTAAAAGTGCTATTGTTATTATCTAGCTGGCTTATATGTTATTAATAACTAATTGGGCACTTTTTTCATACTTTCAATTCTGGAATACAAAAAATATGACCAGAAAAACCTTAAATGATCGTCAACTTACCCAAAACATTTGAAGATGCACATAGGAAGTAGTGATCAATAGAAATCCATACGTAGTTTATCATCCCATGTGCTTTTGGATAAGATGTCATAGAACAATTGTATGAAATATTTCATCGCCGAAAATCTCAAATTACAAGTCGTTTACATTTCCCAAATGGCCAAAGGCGCTGGAATATTGTCCATGTACACAAAATCTCTATGATAAAGGAAATAAAGTTATATGGTCTAAGTTGGCTGTAATTTTAACTTACACGAAACGTAAGGTAAGTATTCTGATGTTATAGGTAAGTTTTGTTAATAATGATGTTCTTTTCGTTTAAGAAGATTGTGATTATTTAATTGATTTCAATAAAATGTATGCATGTATGCACATTTAAATTCCTTTCTTTAATTTTATTATTCCGTTTATCACTGACCTTGTTGTTGTTTTGAATGATTAAGATCCGGAAATCGACGTTGATGGGATGTTTTAAGAAATGTGAACAACTCGTCCTCGAGATAAGTCGAACCTTTTTAAGAAAATAACTCATACCGCTTGTCAGATTTACTTAGGGTATTATAAAATGTTAGATTAACTTGTCTAGCGGAGTCATCAATCTTTCGTTTGTGCATTGGGGTATATTTAGGGGTATGTTGAGGGGCCTAAATAATGGAGGAGTTTACTATAGAACCCTATGGGATTTCAAATGACAATTACTTGAAAACAGTAAGTGATTGACTTGATCTTCAGTAATGATAACAGGACAATATAACAAATCAAATAAAATATACGGTGAGTCCCTGGGGGTCATCCCAACCCCTTCAATTTAAAAATGTCTTGTTATCATGTAAACGGTCACAATCCCCTCCCCTAAACCACATATATACTTGTATGGGCCAATAAAACAAATAAAATGAAAATAATTTGGGGGAGTCCCAGGTGTCACCCAACCCCTTCTGTTTTAAAACTTGAAAATAGTCGAGATCCTCACCCAAAACCATATAGATCCATGTATAGGACAATAAAAGATAGGGGGAGTCCCTTGGGGTCAACCCCACCCCTTCCGTTTGAGAACTTGTTAACGGTTGAGATCCCCACCCCTAAACCATACATAGTCTTGTATGGTACAATAAAACAAATAAAATGAAATATAGGGGGAGTCCACATGGGTCAACCCCACCCCCTCCTGTTTGAGAACTTGTTAACGGTCGAGATCCCCACCCCTAAACCATACATATTCTTGTATGGAACAATAAAACAAATCAAATTTAATATAGAGGGAGTACCTTGGGGTTACCCCATCCCCTCCTGTTTGAGAACTAGTAAACGGTTGAGATCCCCATCCCTACACCATATATATTCTTGTATGGGACAATAAAACAAATAAAATGAAATAAAGGGGGAGTCCCCTGGGAATCAACCCACACCTTTTGAGAATTTGAAAACGGTAGAGATCCTCACCCCTAAACCATATATTTTCCTGTTCGTCAATTCAAGAATGTTCAAATGACATACAGGGTCAATCTCCTAGGCGTCACATATGCATATCACTTTACTTGACCAAACCAATCTGTACTGGACTCGGCCCAATGTCAGGCGACCATGGTAATGATGAATTATAGGAGCTTTGTTTGGGAGATTTCATAACAGTATCCTGTTACAATTATTTCTTGTGTCTTATAGAATTTAATTGATGCAAGAAATAGGATTAGGTTGAATTTACTTTAATTATTTTTTTAGTTATTTCTGGACCTATAAGAATTTTCATTTAAGGCTCATTTTAAAGGAAACATATTTAAAATAAATTAGAAATAACTTTTTGAAATGGTAGGATTGGATAGCAGAAACATTTAGGTACATTTTTGTTTAACTTGAAATAGATGAAATAAATAATCAAACCAATTCTTCCACAATATTCATCTTAACTTAAGCTTCTGCCATGTTTGCCTTGTTTTGTTTTTTAATTAACTGCCTATAGTGCCCTTGGTGCTTTAATTAGTGTTTCGCCTATTGTCTTAAACAATTAATAGATAGCTAGACACTTTCAAATAACAAGAATGGTCAGCAAGATTAGATCTATAAATAGTAAAAGAAATTGTTTACCAGAATCGTTAGTAGACTATCGGAATAATTACCTTCTAATGTTGATGTTTACACATTTTTGTGTTTTGGGCATAAAACTAAAGAATTCAATCTAGAACACAATGTTAGGAAGTGCCCATAGTTGAAGTTGTACATAGACCTAGTTGGGCGACAAAAGCTATTTAGAGTCGATAATTTACTTAATACATCTTACAGATGAATATTTATTTGATTATTTGCTTCTGATATAAATGCACTAGAAGGAACCTTACTGACATGTCTGTGTTCTAGATCAATTTGAATATTTATTTGGTGCCACAATAAGCAATGACTGATGAGCGCCCAAAATGTATCCAATATGGTTGCTATGGACAACTTTGATTTCTGTAAGGACATATGAAGCAAAAATCATGACCATTTCCATACATATTTCTTTTTTAAAACTACTTACCAAATTAATGGAATTGATCATCTTTATATTGATATATAAACAAATGGAACATTGAATACCCATTGGTGGCCTTCGGCTGTTGTCTGCTCTATGGTTGGGTTGTTGTCTCTTTGACACATTCCCAATTTCCATTCTCAATTTTATATAACATGTTAAACAATATATGTCTATTTATTGGACTAGTTTAACTATTGAACCATCATCTTAATATGAATGTGCATACATGTAGATGTAGATGTTACATTAGAAAGCAATGTCTGTGTATGAACAATTATTCTAATCCAGTCAAACAAATACAAAAAATTCAATCTAACCAACCATGCTTACGTCATAACGTTTACTGTCAAATATTGGTCTTTGTACTTCAATGTACTTAGAAAGACCTTAATTTTCAAACATGAACAGTTGAAGAATAGAAAAATACATACACATGGCACAAGTGCGGGATAAGGAAAAAGGCAGAACCTGTTGATTTAATTCCAGAAAACATTTAAAATTACATTCACTGTATAGCATTATTGATTAACTTTTTTAAATTTCAGAACTCATAGAGGCAGCAATGAAAAAACAAGACGAAGATCATATTCCGAAGCATATTAGAGGTATTATTACATTAAATTAACATAGTCTTAATTGTCACGAAACTTCATCAATTACTTACTACATGTAACTAATAAGTCGTATGTTGTAACGAATAATCTCAAGGCCATGGAAAAATGAAAGTTGGTTTCACTTAACATGAGAAAATTAAAATGCCGGGAAGCAGAAACTTCTTTTTTTTTCTTTTTTTTTAGTACACAATCAGTTTCACTCCACCGAGAATGTCGTTGTTAACCCGACAGTAAATTATTGTTTTAAATATTATATTATGGTATAAGCTACATGTTTATGAATCTAAAAACGATATTTGAGCAATGTTGACAAATTTCAAAGAGATTATCGGAAAAGTTTAAAAAAGCATCATTGAAAATTGTCAAAAGAAACAATTGCATCAATTTTGTTTTCATCTGCGAAAAAAGGGACAAAATGTTTACCCTGCAGGTTAAAACAGACACGAAAGGGTTGGGTAAAGAAAGGCAACAGTATTATACCGCTCTTCGAAAGTCATAAATCGATTGCAAGAAAACAAATCCAGGTTACAAACTAAAACCGAAGTGAAAAAACATCAACTCTAAGAGGAAAACAACGAAACAACATAAACACTAAAGTGCAACAAAAAAAAAAACAAACGACAATGTAACGCAGACAGAAACGAACTATAAGATAACAAATATAAGATTACAACAATAACCAACCACAACAATTATTCTTTATATTTTTTTATTATATATACTATATCTAATGTCAACAAGTCTAGATTGAAAACAACGTTCAAACCTATGATTGCGTTGGATAAAAACCGCAATTTTTATACGTGTGCATGCAAAACAAATTTCTTGGTAGAGGGGTCTTAATACAGCACAAACAACATTTTCCAAAAGACCAAAAATGTGAACAAGTATATTTTAACAAAACGCATTTGACTAACAGGTCGAACAACTGATGTTCTTAAACCCTGCTGACTGCCATTGGTGATTGCCAAATAAACGGATCACCAGATGTAACAAAATGGATCTGATGATAATTTATTACCAAACAGAAAACAATAAACTTTCGGAAAAGATGGTATACCGCAAACATGATGTCTATATACTAATAAGTATGTCTGCATTTTATTAAAATAAAAATAAGCAATAAAAAGCTTTTTTGATGGTTAATGCCCGCCTTCGAAAGTAGTAGGTTATAAAGAAATTGACTTGATATTAACATGATTAAGCAGCGACCTAGATTTTAATTGAATAGGACGATACACATCAGTGGCTTATGTGACTTATAAACATCTTAAAGTTAACTGCATTCTAAATTGAACTGTAATTATTTAAAATTTACTATCAGCGATTTCTTTCTATGCTCATTCTAAAGAAATTAATTCTTGGGGTACTTTGAAATGCTGAAGTGATTACATCATATTTAATTTGATCAAATTTAGTCATCACTAGTTATTATATGAATTTTGAGTGTTCTTTTGAATATATATTCATATTTGAGTTTCAGCTGGTATTTTATAATTCATTTTTTAAATATATTTTTTTTAACTTTAATTAATTTTGTTGTACAAATTCTTTAGTTTTTTTTCCAATTTTCATGATGACCAAAGCACAAATTATTACCAAAAAGTAATTTTGCAATTTGAAAAAGATATGCATCTATCGGGTCCGTTTATGTTATGCAATCGGAACTTTTATAATTTGTTTTTATATTTTTATATATTGATTTACAGTTGAATTGTTCCAAATTGTTAAGGCTATGTTACGAAAGATCTGTTCTATGCTACAAATATAATTGAATGCACATTAGTTACCGTGTATGTATTCCCCTTGCATATATCATCTTCCTCACTAACGCTTCATTAATGAACAGCTACGCGACCTATCATAAATCAGATAAAAATTAAAAATTTGCATTTTTCTTTTCCACGCTAGGTTCAAGTTTTAGATTTACTATGGTTATCTTAATTCATCATGAAGTTGTGGTTACATCAACTTGAAACTTAGTACACAATTTCATTATGATGTGATTGTTATGAAGTATATAAACATATGAAGATGTCGTGTAATTAACAACGAGACCGCAGTATTTGGATGTAAGCAACTAGTATTATACATGTATATAAGATAATTGTACAAGCTTCAACAACTAGTAATAGCCATACCTTTTATTAAGCTATGGAAAGCTCGGCCATGATTAAGTATAAAACAATTAAAGTAAGAAATCAAACAGCTTGTAACATGTTAAAGCAACAGAAATATTACATACAACAGCCTATGATAACCACCTTATTACAGGTTTCTAACAAATAAGTGTTCTTTGACGGAATCAGAAATCGACTCCTTTACCATGACTTGTTAAGATGTTACTCTTCACCTTTGTCTATTGTTGCACCAGATTGACATTACAATTGGGACATTAAAATTAATCAGTTGGTATTGTTAGAGTCGAGTTTGCCACGATGCTATTACTTATTTCTTCACCTAACATAAAGAATACCTTTTTCTGACGTGTTTCTTGCACTTTGAGGTTATAAAGGGTTATAAATTTGAAATGGGAGAAAATGCTCTACTTTTTCAATGTTTCAAATCACTGGAAAAGATTATTAATCTAATTTTGACCACAAAAATTTAGTTCAGTTAAATATTGTATAACTGCATGTGAACATGATTGGCAATTAATTATATATATAAAATTATATTGACAATTATTATTATTACACGACACTTTCAATTTGTAACCCTAATAAATATTACTGTCCAGTTGTCAGTGAAACAAGACATATTCAATTTTAGTTTTTCTTTGATGCATTCCTCCTGGATATGGGGATGTTTTATTCATAAATATACTGTTTTCAACCAAAAGAACTATGTTGAATGATGGTATGATACTAAAACCCTAACGGGAAGGATTGTGCCTGATATTCATATGATGAAGACATAATCTTTCAATCAGTTTAATTGAAGTCTGGAGCTGGCATGTCAGTTAACTGCTAGTAGTCTGTTGTTATTTATGTAATATTGTCATTTTGTTTATTTTCTTTGGTTACATCTTCCGACATCAGACTCGGACTTCTCTTGAACTGAATTTTAATGTGCGTATTGTTATGCGTTTACTTTTCTACATTGGCTAGAGGTATAGGGGGAGGGTTGAGATCTCATAAACATGTTTAACCCCGCCGCATTTTTGCGCCTGTCCCAAGTCAGGAGCCTCTAGTCTTTGTTAGTCTTGTATTATTTTTAATTTTAGTTTTTTGTGTACAATTTGGAGTTTAGTATGGCGTTCATTATCACTGAACTAGTATATATATTTGTTTAGGGGCCAGCTGAAGGACTCCTCCGGGTGCGGGAATTTCTCGCTACATTGAAGACCTGTTGGTGACCTTCTGCTGTTGTCTGTTCTATGGTCGGGTTGTTGTCTCTTTGACACATTCCCCATTTCCATTCTCAATTTTATGAAATAAGATGGTATAAAACAATGAAAATGGATTGATTGAAGGAGCAATTTGTTCACCCAACATGGCTAAAAATGTGATATCGAAAATAGTTAAATACAAAATTCTATATCTCATGCGAAGATGTAGCACCTCTTTTAACGGAATATACATAGTGGAGAATGAAATTAAAAATGAATACAGTGGAAATATTCAAATCTACTTATAATGGAAAATATAAAAAAAACATACTTAAATATACCAAAGTGTAGATAACCATCATATCAATAAAATGTGATATTGGTTATAATCACTACAAAATTTTAGATCTCATATAAAGAAGTTGCACCAGTTTATTTTGATCAATGACCACTAATGCTTCTAGCAATAGTGGATTTCAATGCAGAAAGACTGTTAATACAATGTCTTTTCCATTAACTTGTTAACTCTTATGAAAGATACGGAGAAACAAAAACAGAATTTGTCATCAAATATTAGAACAAAAAAATAGATTGAGCATGGCATAATTTTGCATCTTGTATCGATACTATAGCTTCAGCCATACCATTCTACTTTCAACTGTGCATGTAATGACAAAAACTAAAGCCCGTAAACTATTTGTATACGTTTTTTTTTGTAACTATTCCAGTAACACTACAACAGTGACAATTGCACTAGTAAAGTGATTGGACATCATCAATGTTGACTCTAAATACATGAGTGATCAACAATTCATCAATTCTAACAATAAAACTGGATAATTTGAATGTCTCAGTGGTATTGTCAATGTTCTGGTTGAACAATAGGTACGGGCAAAGGACAATACCCAAAGTTAAGTCACAGCTAAATGTTACTGTAATAATATGGAAGGCTATGAACTGATGAAATGTAAAACAATTAAAACGAGAAAAACCAACACTTTGATCTATGTAAAAACAATAAACAACTGAATTACAGGTTCCCGACTTGGACAGGCCCATCAAGAATGCTAATTGAATGAAATATGGGCCCGTACGAATTATTGTCAGCACCTTGCGTTAGTCGTTTGTACCTGTCCGTCGTCATCATCGTCCGTCGTCGTTAACTTTTACAAAAATCTTCTCCTCTGAAACTACTGGGCCAAATTTGACCAAACTTGGCCACAATCATCATTGGGGTATCTAGTTTGAAAAATGTGTCCGATGACCCGGCCAACCAACCAAGATGGCCGCCATGGCTAAAAATAGTACATAGGGGTAAAATGTAGATTTTGGCTTATATCTCTAAAAACACAGCATTTAGAGCAAATCTGACGGGGTGAAATTGTTTATCAGGTCAAGATCTATCTTCCCTGAAATTTGCAGATGAATCGGACAACCCGTTGTTAGGTTGCTGCCCCTGAGTTGGTAATTTTAAGGAAATTTTGCCGTTTTTGGTTATTATCTTGAATATTATTATAGATAGAGATAAACTGTAAACAGCAATAATGTTCAGCAAAGTAAGATCTACAAATAAGTCAACTTGACTAAAATGGTCAGTTGATCCCTTAAGGAGTTATTGCCCTTTATAGTCAATTTTTAACCATTTTTCGTAAATTTTTGTAATCTTTTACAAAAATCTTCTCCTCTGAAACTACTAAGACAAATTTAACCAAACTTGTCCACAATCATCATTAGGGTATCTAGTTTAAAAAATGTGTCCGATGACCCCACCCGCGACCCAAGATGGCTGACATGGCTAAAAAATAGTACATAGGGTAAAATGCAGTTTTTGGCTCATATCTCTGAAACCAAAGCATTTAGAGCAAATCTGATGAGAATAAAATTGTTCATTAGGTCAAGATCTATCTGCCCTGAAATTTTCAGACCAATCAGGCAACACGTTGTTGGGTTGCTGCCCCTGAATTGGTAATTTTAAGAAAATTTTGCAGCTTTTGGTTATTATCTTGAATATTATTATAGATAATTCATTCATTCTGCATCTCCTGTATGAAATATTCCACACAGAATGAGCACGGAAAATAGTAGGAATATTGTATTGAAATTTCTACCAGAAAAAAGTGATATTCTAGTCAGACAGTAGCCCAACCCCCTCTTCATGGTTAATTGACTTTGAAACTTTTACATAGTTTACAAGTTAATGTTTGTGTTTAGGTTTGTTTAAAGGGAACGCCTTTTAATAAGTCAATGGTATTTGGAATGCAGTTGTATCAGCATTGGCACATCTCATTTACATGGAGATTCCTTGGCTATGTACCTCAGTCATGGTTCATTGACTTTGAATATTTGCACAACTTATGTAACATGTTAAAGTATTGCTATTTTGATTTCGACATTTGCATAATCAAAATTACAAAAAGACGAGACATATCTCTGTGATAACAGTTTATTATTACTTATAAACTATCGCTGCGTTGAAGACCCATTGTGGTCTTCGGCTGTTGTCTGCTCTTTGGTCGGGTTATTGTCTCTTTGACATATTCCCCATTTCCATTCTCAATTTAATTGTTTTATACCAAAATAATATTGATTCAAATCAATGAATTTTACCTATGTTTACCATGTTAGTTCGATGCACTGCAACGTAATGAAATGCTGTACGCAATTGTAATGATGTATATGGGTCAACCTTAATCTAATTCTTTGATCCCTTGATGATTTGAAAACTGACATGTTATTAAACAGATTGACCATCAGGATCAATGTTATTATGGCATTTGTATATTTAAAGGAGTATTATGGCAACATGTCACCTGAATAATTGGCCCACTAAAGATTGAATGAAAATGTTATTAAACAAGAATGTATTAATAATTCAACATTCATTGTAATCACATTTTTTCTTATAATTACCACCATTAAAATAGAACATAGAAATACCGGGCGTCCCTCCACCAGATCTTGTAAGCGCTTTCATATTCAATTCATGACAGAATCTCATGAAAATGATTTCAAAAGTTTAAATTTACAACCTCTTGCACAATTTTCGAAATCAATAATGATCAACTATTTTTAAAAGACTTAAGCCCCTTGAAAATATCAATTATATGAAAAATTGCATTGCAGTTACTCTCACCTAGTCATGTGTACAATTATTGACAGATTTTCATGAAATTGATAACAAAGGTTTATATCAACAGCCGCTTGGACAAGTTCGGAAGTCAGTGCTGATCAACTATTTTAATATAAGTTAGGCCCTGGGAAATATCAATTAAATGGACAATTACATTTTTACGCATTCTCAAGAATACAGTTATTTCCATGGTTGAGACAAGATCGAAAATCAGTACTGATAATTTTTTTTTATAAAAGTTCTAACCTTGGAAATATCAATCATATTAAGAATTGAAAGTGCTCTCAAGTATATAATTCTTTCCAGATTTAAAAAAAAAATAATGATTTCAAATGTTCCAAAATAAGTGCTGAAGAACTATTTGTAAAAGAGTAATGCACCTTGGAAATATGTTTGACATGGAGAATTGTAGAGTAAGCCGGCATTTCTCTAAGATATTCATAAAAAGGTTTTAAGAACACACATTTTTTAAGTTATTGCCCATGGACACATACAATATTTGCAACACGATTATGTGATTAGGATGACAGGTTTACAATCCGTTAAGAGAGCGAGACATTTTAGATTGGATATATTTTCTTTTTGGTTCTAGGTCAAAATTGAACTTACAATCTCAGCTTTCAATATTTTTTTTTGCAGCACTCCATGAAGAAGAAATAAGAGAATGGGAGCAAGACCAAACTACCTTTTTGGAAACCAGAGCAACACGTCACATACTGAAATCTCTACCCTCACATAACTGTATTGTTGTGACAGGAAGCTCGGGTTGTGGTAAATCTTCAAACATACATCAAGCTGCCTTACACTTACGTGACAGTTTTGGGTATGAGATAATACCTGTTTTAGTAGGACCAACAGACATAATAAATTATTATAATAAAAACAAAAAACAAGTTTTTGTTGTTGATGACATATGTGGAAAGGAAACAATAAACACACAAACATTACAGATGTGGAGAGATTATTCAGAAAAAATGGAGAAAATATTTAAAGATGAAGAAACAGATGTTGGAAGTAAAAATGATGGCACGGTTTCAAAGGTATCAAGTCCAAGATTTCTGATTTCTTGTAGACTGCATATATATAAAGAATCACAGTTTCAACGTATTTCATTATTCACAAAAAAAGAATGCAATTTATTATCAGAAGAGTTGTGTTTGCAGGAAGCTGAAAGAATCCATATGCTGCAGAAGTACCTTCCTGATGACATAATTGACAATATAAAACAAGTCGCAGAGAACGTTGATTACTTTCCCTTGCTTTGTAAATTGTCAAAAGACAAAACATGTGAGGAAGTCAAGAAACTGTTTACAGCTCCTTTAATTAGTATTAAAAAGAACATAATCAACATTAATGAAAACAAAGAACAGTCCTGTGCTCTTTCTCTGTGTATCATATTTAGTGATGGATTCAATACAGATTGGCTGAAAAAAGGATCAGTTTTAGTAAATAACACGGACAAACTTGAGGACATTGTTAAAGAATTTGACATAAACTTAAGCAAAGAGAAGCATAGAAATTCTTTAAAAGCTGGCTTTTCAACATTAAATGGCACCTATTTCAAATTGAGAGGCACAGAGTATAGAATGATACATGACAAAATTTATAAAATGGCAGCTGTAATCTGTGGACAAAAACTTACAGAATGTTTTATTAAATATGCTCCCTCTATATGTATTCGAGACAGTTTCATCTTTGAATCTGTAACAGAAGTCCATGAAAAGGATGATTTAATTGTAGTATCAAAAAACCAAGAAGAAGATTATTTTGAACGACTGTTATTTGACTTAACAAAGCATCTCATTATAAGTACATTCAATAATTACCAGTTAATGTATAAGACATTTAGACATAAGTTAATAAGCTTTTTAAAAAGGAAAAATGATGCAAACACACTATTAACGAAGCTTGATATAGAAGGTTGCAAAACAATCAAATATGGTGATCTAGAATATCCGTTTGACACAGACTATTATACAACACCTTTAATAGAATCAGCTGATAGGGGTTATTTTGATATTGTTGACTTTCTGATTGTTAATGTTAAATGTAATGTGAATAACACAGACAGTGAAGACAGCTCCCCTTTATATAAGGCATCTGAAAAAGGACATTCAGCTGTAGCTAAACTGTTATTACAGAACAATGCTGATGTATCTCAATGTAACAAATTTAAAAAGTCTGCATTGTATGCGGCCTGTGCAGGAGGACATACAGATACAGCAAAACTGTTACTTCAGAACAATGCTGATGTCAATCAGTGTGATAATATTGGTAATTCACCATTGCATGCGGCCAGTGATGGAGGACATAAAGATATAGTAGAAGTGTTACTTCAGAACAAGGCTGTTGTCTCTCAGTGTAATGAGAATGGTGAGTCTCCATTGTATCTGGCCTGTGAAGGAGGATATAAAGATATAGTAGAACTGTTACTGCAGAACAATGCTGATGTCAATCAGTGTGAAAGGAATGGTAGGTCTCCATTATATGTAGCCTGTGAAGAAGGAGATAAAGATATAGTAGAACTGTTACTTCAGAACAATGCTGATGTCAATCAGTGTGATATGAATGGTGAGTCTCCATTGTATGTAGCCTGTGAAGGAGGATATAAAGATATAGTAGAACTGTTACTTCAGAACAATGCTGATGTCAATCAGTGTGAAAGGAATAGTAGGTCTCCATTATATGTGGCATGTAAAGGAGGACATAAAGATATAGTAGAACTGTTACTTCAGAACAATGCTGATGTCAATCAGTGTGAAAGGAATGGTAGGTCTCCATTATATGTGGCATGTAAAGGAAGACATAAAGATATAGTAGAACTGTTACTTCAGAACAAGGCTGACATCAATCGGTGTGATGAGATTGAATGGTCTTCATTATATGCGGCCTGTAAAGGAGGACATAAAGATATAGTAGAACTGTTACTTCAGAACAATGCTGATGTCAATCAGTGTGAAAGGAATGGTAGGTCTCCATTATATGTGGCATGTAAAGGAGGATATAAAGATAAAGTAGAACTGTTACTTCAGAACAATGCTGATGTCAATCAGTGTGATGAGGATGGAGAGTCTTCATTGTATGTAGCCTGTGAAGGAGGACATAAAGATATAGTAGAACTGTTATTTCAGAACAATGCTGATGTCAATCAGTGTGATGTGAATGGTGAGTCTCCATTATATGTGGCATGTAAAGGAGGACATAAAGATATAGTAGAACTGTTACTTCAGAACAATGCTGATGTCAATCAGTGTGATGAGGATGGAGAGTCTTCATTGTATGTAGCCTGTGAAGGAGGATATAAAGATACAGTAGAACTGTTACTTCAGAACAATGCTGATGTCAATCAGTGTGACAAAAATGGTAGGTCTCTATTATATGTGGCATGTAAAGGAGGACATAAATATACAGTAGAACTGTTACTTCAGAACAATGCTGATGTCAATCAGTGTGATAATATTGGTAATTCACCATTGCATGCGGCCAGTGATGGAGGACATAAAGATATAGTAGAAGTGTTACTTCAGAACAAGGCTGTTGTCTCTCAGTGTAATGAGAATGGTGAGTCTCCATTGTATGCGGCCTGTGAAGGAGGATATAAAGATATAGTAGAACTGTTACTGCAGAACAATGCTGATGTCAATCAGTGTGAAAGGAATGGTAGGTCTCCATTATATGTAGCCTGTGAAGAAGGAGATAAAGATATAGTAGAACTGTTACTTCAGAACAATGCTGATGTCAATCAGTGTGAAAAGAATTGTAGGTCTCCATTATATGTGGCATGTAAAGGAGGACATAAAGATATAGTAGAACTGTTACTTCAGAACAAGGCTGACATCAATCGGTCTGATGAGATTGAATGGTCTTCATTATATGCGGCCTGTAAAGGAGGACATAAAGATATAGTAGAACTGTTACTTCAGAACAATGCTGATGTCAATCAGTGTGAAAGGAATGGTAGGTCACCATTATATGTGGCATGTAAAGGAGGATATAAAGATATAGTAGAACTGTTACTTCAGAACAATGCTGATGTCAATCAGTGTGATGAGGATGGAGAGTCTTCATTGTATGTAGCCTGTGAAAGAGGATATAAAGATATAGTAGAACTGTTACTTCAGAACAATGCTGATGTCAATCAGTGTGAAAGGAATGGTAGGTCTCCATTATATGTGGCATGTAAAGGAGGATATAAAGATATAGTAGAACTGTTACTTCAGAACAATGCTGATGTCAATCAGTGTGAAAGGAATGGTAGGTCTCCATTATATGTGGCATGTGAAGGAGGATATAAAGATATAGTAGAACTGTTACTGCCGAACAATGCTGATGTCAATCAGTGTGAAAGGAATAGTAGGTCTTCATTATATGTGGCATGTAAAGGAGGAGATAAAGATATAGTAGAACTGTTACTTCAGAACAATGCTGATGTCAATCAGTGTGAAAAGAATTGTAGGTCTCCATTATATGTGGCATGTAAAGGAGGACATAAAGATATAGTAGAACTGTTACTTCAGAACAAGGCTGACATCAATCGGTGTGATGAGATTGAATGGTCTTCATTATATGCGGCCTGTAAAGGAGGACATAAAGATAAAGTAGAACTGTTACTTCAGAACAATGCTGATGTCAATCAGTGTGAAAGGAATGGTAGGTCTCCATTATATGTGGCATGTAAAGGAGGATATAAAGATATAGTAGAACTGTTACTTCAGAACAATGCTGATGTCAATCAGTGTGATGAGGATGGAGAGTCTTCATTGTATGTAGCCTGTGAAGGAGGACATAAAGATATAGTAGAACTGTTATTTCAGAACAATGCTGATGTCAATCAGTGTGATGTGAATGGTGAGTCTCCATTATATGTGGCATGTAAAGGAGGACATAAAGATATAGTAGAACTGTTACTTCAGAACAATGCTGATGTCAATCAGTGTGATGAGGATGGAGAGTCTTCATTGTATGTAGCCTGTGAAGGAGGATATAAAGATACAGTAGAACTGTTACTTCAGAACAATGCTGATGTCAATCAGTGTGACAAAAATGGTAGGTCTCTATTATATGTGGCATGTAAAGGAGGACATAAATATACAGTAGAACTGTTACTTCAGAACAATGCTGATGTCAATCAGTGTGATGAGGATGGAGAGTCTTCATTGTATGTAGCCTGTGAAGGAGGATATAAAGATATAGTAGAACTGTTACTTCAGAACAATGCTGATGTCAATCAGTGTGATAATATTGGTAATTCACCATTTCATGCGGCCAGTGATGGAGGACATAAAGATATAGTAGAAGTGTTACTTCAGAACAAGGCTGTTGTCTCTCAGTGTAATGAGAATGGTGAGTCTCCATTGTATGCGGCCTGTGAAGGAGGATATAAAGATATAGTAGAACTGTTACTGCAGAACAATGCTGATGTCAATCAGTGTGAAAGGAATGGTAGGTCTCCATTATATGTAGCCTGTGAAGAAGGAGATAAAGATATAGTAGAACTGTTACTTCAGAACAATGCTGATGTCAATCAGTGTGATATGAATGGTGAGTCTCCATTGTATGTAGCCTGTGAAGGAGGATATAAAGATATAGTAGAACTGTTACTTCAGAACAATGCTGATGTCAATCAGTGTAAAAAGAATTGTAGGTCTCCATTATATGTGGCATGTAAAGGAGGACATAAAGATATAGTAGAACTGTTACTGCAGAACAAGGCTGACATCAATCGGTGTGATAAGATTGGATGGTCTCCATTGTATGTAGCCTGTGAAGAAGGAGATAAAGATATAGTAGAACTGTTACTTCAGAACAATGCTGATGTCAATCAGTGTGATGAGGGTGGAGAGTCTTCATTGTATGTAGCCTGTGAAGGAGGATATAAAGATATAGTAGAACTGTTACTTCAGAACAATGCTGATGTCAATCAGTGTGAAAAGAATTGTAGGTCTCCATTATATGTGGCATGTAAAGGAGGACATAAAGATATAGTAGAACTGTTACTTCAGAACAAGGCTGACATCAATCGGTGTGATGAGATTGAATGGTCTTCATTATATGCGGCCTGTAAAGGAGGACATAAAGATATAGTAGAACTGTTACTTCAGAACAATGCTGATGTCAATCAGTGTGATGAGAATGGAGAGTCTTCATTGTATGTAGCCTGTGAAAGAGGATATAAAGATATAGTAGAACTGTTACTTCAGAACAATGCTGATGTCAATCAGTGTGAAAGGAATGGTAGGTCTCCATTATATGTGGCATGTAAAGGAGGATATAAAGATATAGTAGAACTGTTACTTCAGAACAATGCTGATGTCAATCAGTGTGAAAGGAATGGTAGGTCTCCATTATATGTGGCATGTGAAGGAGGATATAAAGATATAGTAGAACTGTTACTGCCGAACAATGCTGATGTCAATCAGTGTGAAAGGAATAGTAGGTCTTCATTATATGTGGCATGTAAAGGAGGACCTAAAGATTTAGTAGAACTGTTACTTCAGAACAATGCTGATGTCAATTAGTGTGATGAGGATGGAGAGTCTTCATTGTATGTAGCCTGTGAAGGAGGATATAAAGATATAGTAGAACTGTTACTTCAGAACAATGCTGATGTCAATCAGTGTGAAAGGAATGGTAGGTCTCCATTATATGTGGCATGTAAAGGAGGACATAAAGATATAGTAGAACTGTTACTGCAGAACAATGCTGACATCAATCGGTGTGATAAGATTTGATGGTCTCCATTGTATGTAGCCTGTGAAGAAGGAGATAAAGATATAGTAGAACTGTTACTTCAGAACAATGCTGATGTCAATCAGTGTGATGAGGGTAGAGAGTCTCTATTGTATGTAGCCTGTGAAGAAGGATATAAAGATATAGTAGAACTGTTACTTCAGAACAATGCTGATGTCAATCAGTGTAAAAAGAATTGTAGGTCTCCATTATATGTGGCATGTAAAGGAGGACATAAAGATATAGTAGAACTGTTACTTCAGAACAATGCTGACATCAATCGGTGTGATAAGATTGGATGGTCTCCATTGTATGTAGCCTGTGAAGGAGGATATAAAGATATAGTAGAACTGTTACTTCAGAACAATGCTGATGTCAATCAGTGTGAAAAGAATTGTAGGTCTCCATTATATGTGGCATGTAAAGGAGGACATAAAGATATAGTAGAACTGTTACTTCAGAACAATGCTGATGTCAATCAGTGTGATGAGAATGGAGAGTCTTCATTGTCTGTAGCCTGTGAAGGAGGATATAAAGATATAGTAGAACTGTTACTGCAGAACAAGGCTGACATCAATCGGTATGATAAGTTTGGATGGTCTCCATTGTATGTAGCCTGTGAAAGAGGATATAAAGATATAGTAGAACTGTTACTTCAGAACAAGGCTGATGTCAATCAGTATGATGTGGATGGTGAGTCTCCATTGTATGTGGCATGTGAAGGAGGACATAAAGATACAGTAGAACTGTTACTCCAGAAAAATGCTGATGTCAATAAGTGTAATAGTAAGGGAGAGTCACCTTTACATGCGGTTTGTTCATATCATTTCAAATTGCAATCAATATACAGTAAAGATAGAATGGAACAATTTTCAAAAAGGTGCATTGAAACTGTTAAAATATTACTTGCATGGAAAGCAGATATTACATTGCGTAATGAGAATGGTCAGACACCACTTGATGTTGCCCGTGAATCAACGTTCGTGGAACTTGAAAATCTTTTTGAGGAAAATCTCCAACTAAAAGAATCACAATTAAAGTAATCATTTCATAAATTTGAATTTTACAACGAGGTAAATATAGTTACAATGTTAGTATTGTATCACAATTAAAGTCAATGAATGCACTCATAATCCAGGTGTTACTTAAACCAGACATTATTTTTAATTAGCTATGTAGGTAATTTAAAGGAATATACAACAGAAATAACTAACAAGATTTATCTAAGATTACAATAAATGCCTGGACAAGATTTATCTAAGATTACAATAAACGCCTAGACAATATTTAATAGTTTTTACATTATCTTATGGCATAATTTTTTTTCAGAATTTTTGCAAATAATATTTAATAACATGATTCAAAAAAGTAATACATAAAAGAGTATTATTTCAACATTACTTGTAAAGTTTATTTTGATCTTTGAACTTTAATTTGATCACTCCGCAACATATAATATGTGTAACAAGGGGAATCCAATATGAACATTGGTCGGTATATGTATGGAGTGTATGTAATTGATCAGTATATATATATAGGTCTATGTAAATTGTTGGTTTATGTATGGAGTATATGTAATTGGTCAGTATATGTATAGGTCTATGTAAATTGTTGGTTTATGTATGGAGTGCATGTAATTAATCAGTATATGTATAGGTCTATGTAAATTGTCGGTTTATGTATGGAGTGCATGTAATTGATCAGTATATGTATAGGTCTATGTTAATTGTTGGTTTATGTATGGAGTGCATGTAATTGATCAGTATATGTATAGGTCTATGTAAATTGTTGGTTTATGTATGGAGTGGATGTAATTGATCAGTATATGTATAGGTCTATGTAAATTGTCGGTTTATGTATGGAGTGCATGTAATTGATCAGTATATGTATAGGTCTATGTTAATTGTTGGTTTATGTATGGAGTGCATGTAATTGATCAGTATATGTATAGGTCTATGTAAATTGTTGGTTTATGTATGGAGTGCATGTAATTGATCAGTATATGTATAGGTCTATGTAAATTGTTGGTTTATGTATGGAGTGTATGTAATTGATCAGTATATATATATAGGTATATGTAAATTGTTGGTTTATGTATGGAGTGTATGTAATTGGTCAGTATATGTATAGGTCTATGTAAATTGTTGGTTTAAGTATGGAGTGCATGTAATTGATCAGTATATGTATAGGTCTATGTTAATTGTTGGTTTATGTATGGAGTGCATGTCATTGATCAGTATATGTATAGGTCTATGTAAATTGTTGGTTTATGTATGGAGTGCATGTAATTGATCAGTATATGTATAGGTCTATGTAAATTGTTGGTTTATGTATGGAGTGTATGTAAGTGATCAGTATATGTATAGGTCTATGTAAATTGTTGGTTTATGTATGGAGTGTATGTAAGTGATCAGTATACGTATAGGTCTATGTAAATTGTTGGTTTATGTATGGAGTATATATAATTGATCAGTATATGTATAGGTCTATGTTAATTGTCGGTTTATGTGTGAAGTGTATGTAATTTACCAGTATATGTATAGGCCTATGTAAATTGTCGGTATATGAATGGGTTGTATGTAATTGATCAGTATATGTGTAGGTCTATGTAAATAATCGGTATATGTATGGAGTGTATGTAATTGATCAGTATATGTATAGTTCTATGTAAATTTTTGGTTTATGTATGTAGTGCATGTAATTGGTCAGTATGTGCATGGAGTGTATGCAATTGATCGGTGTATGTAATTGGTCCTTATACCTATGGGATCTATGTAAGTGGTTAGTATATGTATAGAGTTCATGCAATTGTTCAGTATATCGATGGAATAAATTTTATTGGCTGATTATTATCGAAGTTTATGTCATTGGTCATTGTATGTCTTTTGCGTATATATTCAGCCTTTTACTGTGTGTAGTGCATGTAATAAGTCTTTAAATCCATGTAATGTTTATGATTGGTTGGTAGATTCATGAAGTGCATGTAAGTGGAAAGTATATGTGGGGAATTGTAATGAATACGTCAGTATATGAGTATATGTTGTTTTGTATGTATCTGAATGGAATATATGCGATTGTTTCATTTATGGAGTGTATGTCATTGGTCAGTGTATATACCAATGGTCAGTTTTAAGGTTTGTGTATATTATTGGCCTGATTTTGTGTGTGGAGTGCATGTAACTGGTTAGTATATGTATGAAGTGCATGTCACTGGTCAGAATATGTATGAAGTGTATGTCATTGGTCAGTAAATGCATGGAGTTTGTGTCATTGGTCAGTATATGTGTAGAGTGTATGTCATTCGTCAGTAAATGTATGGACTGTATATGTATGGAAAGCATGTTATTGGTCAATATATGTATGAAGTGTATGTCATCGGTCAGAATATGTATGAAGTGCATGTTATTGGTTAGTATATGTTTGAAGTGTATGTCATTCGTCACTGTTTGTATATAATGCTTGTAAGTGGTCAATGTATGTAAGGAATGCTTGTAATTGTTCAATGTATTACGGAATGCTTATAATTGGTCAAGGTATTATGGAATGCTTGTAATTAGTAAGTTTATATATGAAATATATGTGATTGGGTTGGTGTATCCATGAAGTGTATGTTATTCGTCAGTATGTAGATAGGGTATGATGTAATTGGTCAGTGTATGTATGGAGTTATATGAAATTGGTCAGTATATGCATATATGCATTTAGTGTATGCAATTGATTTTATACCTGTTATATAAATAGAATGTTTTTTTTCTATATGTAAATTGTAATAGACTACCTTATCATTATGTTTTTGTAAATGCAAGCGTACTGTTTATTATGGCATACACTGTTATCTGGAAAATACATTCTTGTATGATTTGTAAGAAACACTCATTAATTATTTTAATGACATGTTATAGGGTTCTTTCATGTCTTTGTTAATAATCAACTTTAACTGTTTAGTCCATTTTTGGTTATATCCTTTAAGGGTGAGTTGGTACTTCTGCATCATGCCTTTGTGTTGTTGTGTTGTAGTCATTTTTGTTTTCTTGTCTTTCATATTTGCTTATGTGCCTTGTCCAAATGCCGTTCTGTTTTTTCGTTGTTGAGATGTTTGTTTTTATAGTGATTAAGATATAAAAAAAAAACAAAGTTGACTGCTGTAACCCATTTTGACATTTTAAACTTTTATGTGTGTTTGTTTTTTTCACACATTGTTGTCAATATAATGGACTTTAATGCAACTGCCATACAAGTGAGAGGTTTAACAAGTTATAAAACCAGATTTAATCCACCGTTTTCTATATAAGGAAATGCCTGTTCCAAGTTAGAAATATGACAGTTGTCTTCCATTCGTTTGATGTGTTCTAGCTTTTTTGATTTTGCCGACTGATGAGGGACTTTCCGATTTGAACTTTCCTTTGAGTTGGGTATTTTGTTTTGCTATTTGACTTTTTTCATATCTTTGTATTGTAATAACCACAAATATCTTGGTATTGTAATAAACAATTTGATTACATTGGTAAATACTATTATTTTGTAGTCAAGCAAAAAACGTTAATTTTACGTATGTAAGACACCATGTAAAATCACATTTAGTCTGTAAGAATTGACAAAGGTTTATGATTTATGCTGAAAAGGTTCTACTGTAATTGAAATCTACAACTTGTCAAACATTATGAAATGACTTTTATTATCTGTATACTTTTTAAATCCTTGTTTGTCCAGGAATTTTTATGTATTCAATTCGCAGTTAAAATATATGCTATATATGTGCTTTCATGATATATTTTGTTTACTTAATACGTATGTAGAAATCATATTTATAAACCATGGTACTGTTAATTAAAGCTTGATTCCTATTTATAAAAGTATCTAATCAATATTTATGTAAATGACAATATTTGAAGTAACTTGATTTGCTGTTGAATAGTGTTATTACCCAAAGTGCAAAAGGCTATGTGATAAATTTCTTTTATTGACAACTGTAACAACTGAAAATAGAATTTGTTGCTTCTCTACCAAGACAGTCAGTGAAAAATGACTTGTTAAAAAAAAATTCCTTATTTATGTTCATGTTTGTTTAACAACAGAGAACGTTGTGCTGTCAACGTATGATGTAATATAATTTTTACCCTCATGCCTACTGAACGTTTCTGCTTATCTATATATTCTTTCTAGACATACTAAGTACCGTTACATAGCTTTCCTGCCAAATACTAGAAGTACATGTGACAGTAGTAGTATACCACAATCCAACCTTAAGGAACTAATTATGTTATTGATATTAAGTCACAAAATATTCACTCAACGGATGATGATTGTTACTGTATTTAGTAAATGTTGACCTTAATAATTTCAACTAAGATATTGTGTTGAATTTATTGATGAACATGATTTATTAAAATACACTATTAAATAATTGATTGACATGCTTTACACTATATTATCTATGAAAATGACCATTTTGAATTATAGTATAACTTTTATATATTAGTGAATGACATGTTCGATACGGTATCTATGTAACATATAACCATTTTTACTTGTAATTTGACTTTTATATATAAATGTTTTATATTGTATCTATTAACATTACCATTTGACTGATTGTACGACTTTTAAATAGTAGTGATTGATACTGTGTCTATTGAAATGACCATTAAATGACTAATAGTATGACTTTAACATATGAGTCTTTTATACTGTATATATTAAAATTACCATTTTGACTCGTAGTATGACTTTAAGAAAAATTGCGATTTATATTTTATTGCTATCAATAGTTTTCTGTGGAACTTCTTTTTCACAGTGCTTAGGTTTATTACGCCCGTTTACGGGACGCATTAGGGTATACCGTTGTCAGTCTGTCTGTCCGTCGTCAACATGTCGGACATTAACTCAAAAACGCTTTAACCAATTTGCATAAAACTTTGGTGAATTGTTTATATCTATTGAGGTGAGCTCCCTTTCGTTTTATATAAATTTTAGATTTTACGTTTCCGAGTTATGGGGTTTTATTCATTAAAAAAATGGGGATTTTCCAGTTTTCGGACAATAACTGAGAAATGCTTTCAGCAGTTCTCATGAAACTTTGATGAATTGTTGATATCTATTGATGTAAGCTCCATTCAGAATTTTATAAATTTTAGATTATACATTTCCGAGTTATGGGGTTTTATTCATTAACAAAGGGGGGATTTTCCAGTTTTCAGACAATAACTCAAAAATGCTTTCAGCAATTCTTATGAAACTTTGATGAATTGATTATGTCTATTTATGTAAGCTCCCTTTAGAATTTTATAAATTTTATTCGTTTATAGTCTGACAGCAGATGTACAAAGTATTGCGCAGCAGCATAGTGTATTGCACAACAGCAAGAAATCTTTAATTGAATATACATTCAATTCATATAACCAATTTCAAGTTCTTTGACTACATTTATTCAGAAACCTATAATATGTCAAATATTTAAATACAATCCAAATTCAGACCTGTATCAAGCTTGAATATTGTGTCCATTTTTGCCCCAACTGTTCAGGGTTGGAACTCTACGGGCGTATCCAGCTGCGCTCAGCGAAGTAATTTATTTTTTCTTTGTTTGCTTATGTTTTTGTTTATATGCTCAGCAACACAAGTAACGCACCACATATTTTAGTGTATAGTTTCGCAATTTCCTCCTTGCTAAAAAAAACATAAGAACTTTACCAATGTTAATTTATTAATTATTACTTTGACATTAATCAATGTTTTACACATACGTTTTAAGTTTCAGTGGTGTTTCAAAAAAACCAAGTTATTTTTTTTTTTAGAAATCTAATTTGGTTACGAAACTGAACATATACAGATATATATTTTTATTTTCTTAGGGGAAGAGATACATATTGAAATTATTTTTGTTAAAGTAAAAAATAAATGGACTATGTTAATAGAAGGCGGCAATCTATAACGACTAAGATTAATATAGTTATACTTCCGGGTAGAAATCCTGTTTAGTGCAGTATATGGCATTTTAGGGGACGTTTTCAGTTGTTTGTGCTTTTAGTTGTGTTTTCTGTAGCATTTTATAGTTGTTTTATATCCATACAATTTTCAATTACATCTGTAGAATATATATACAATATATGGTCAATGTCAGAAAAATATAAACTTTTTTGTATGAAGCTGAGAAACTGGGGAAGGGCGAGGTTCTATATATATATCTTTTTGATATTACTTTTTTAAATGTTGTCATTTTTCTTGAAATATATATCTTTAACATACCTGTTATGTGACAATTCCAATTCATTGAGAATCTTTCATTTAGTCAGTTCACACTGCAGTATGTTTTGCATTTTTTTGTTACAAAACACAAAGAGCATAATCACCAGGTTTAGATTGTTAGTACATATCTGCACCCCTCTTATGAAAGTACAAGTTTTTTTGGTGTCCAT